GACCCCCGGTCAATATTCTACGGGGATCACTTTTCGTCGTTACACCTGGCATAGGTCAAAATTTGCAGTTCTCCACCGGCAAATGGTGGGGTCTCCAATGAGTGAAAAATTCTCGAGAGGGACGTTAATCAACTAAAAAACATATATGATTTACTTTGACTCCTGATTTTGGCTCCACTGAAATTTAGTCCACAAAATGAACAAAAATAAATCTATCAAAGAGAATAATATTTTACTATGAGTTTTATCTTTTTCTGGTAAAGTCACTCTTGAGAAGAAGCATTTTAGTGATCCAACGCAAGTTGTTATATTTGTTAATTATCTCTCCCTTGAAAAACATAAATTCCCGGTACCCAAGGATAATTTGTGCTAAGTTTGATTGAAATTGGCACAATTGAAAATATGAAAAAGATAGCATACGACGTACAAAAAATAGACAGACGGACACAACGCACCAATATAGGAAGCAAATAATTTTTTTTTTCGTAACGCTTCTTTTTAAGAATATACGTACAGATACATGTACATTTTAATAACTGCTTTATCTTTCATCCCCCCTTTTTCCTTAACTGTGAATTAAGTGACTTAAAAAATTCTATATAAATTCTAAAAATGCTCATTTTTCTCAATGGATGAAAATGTTGCACCATGCAGAAATGCAAACACTTAGCTGTTCCATAGGGTGATGTTTCGATACTTGGTATAACCTGCTAAGCAATAAGCATAACACCCTCCGAAAAACAGGATTCCCAACGTAAATAAACAACCCGTCTGTAAAGCAAAAATAATCGCAGTGGTTAAGCGTTTACTCTAGAGTCGCGGCGTAAGGAGTTGATCCGTACGTCGCGGGTTCGAATCCCACTGTGGGACGTGGAGACCGGTCCGTATAAACCGAAGTTCTGTGTTGCAGTAGGTGCTGGCATGAAAAAGATCCCTCGCTGGTCAAAGGCTGTAAATGCCGAGTGCAAGTCTTAATTTGCAGCGCTTCCCTACCAAAAAATACTATAGTTAACTATAGTAGTTTACTGTAGTATCAAAGTTTTTACTGTAGTAAATCAAGGTTTTTTTCTATAGTAAATCAAGGTTTTTACTGAAGTAAATCAAGGTTTTTACTGAAGTAAATCAAGGTTTTTACTGGAGTAAATCAAGGTTTTTACTGTAGTAAATCATCAAGGTTTTTACTATAGTAAATCAAGGTTTTTACTGTAGTAAATCAAAGTATTTTTACTGTGGATTTCAGATTGATATATTTTTATTCTCCGATTCATGCATGCACAGTTTTTATATTTAAAGGTGCTTGGACATGCACAGATTTGAAGTTAATATGTTCTCAAGTTTTCGGTATAATATCATGACTTGTATGTTGCTATGGCATTTTAAACGGAAATAAAATGAAAAAAATATTTTATCTGGAAATTATTGAAACAACAAATTTCGGGACGCGTTTGATTGATACAACCGGTGAAAAGTAAACATTAACAACAACAGAGCTCGTGCCCTGTTTACAAAAACAGTTTACGTTTCACGGGTGTATTCAATTTGTTATACTCTGCACACATCACTGAACACGGACTGACAATACTGGTGAGTTGGTTTTGCTTTCTCACATTTCTACTCTTTATTTTCTGGATTAAAGTTTGATATTTTCATTAATGCACAACAAAATTTCTACTTTTCTTAAGTATTAAGGATAAAGTTTACTTTGTGAAAGTGCATAGATGTGTCAATCAAACGGTCCCGAAATTTGTAGTTTCAATAATTTCCAGATAAAAAAAGTTTTATTTAATTTTATTTCCCTGTGAAATGCTATAAAAACATATAAGTCATGATATTATACCGAAAATTTGAGAAAATATTAACTTCAAATCTGTGTCCAAGCATCTTAAATGGAACTATTGCTTATATTTTGACATATTATTTCCAATTTTAACATTACTGTTTTCAATTTTAAGAGATTTTATGTTTTGTAATCTATATCTTAAATCTTTGTAATCTAAATCTTAAATCTTTGTAATCTTAAAAAGTTTTATAGTAAAGTGTCATAGTAAATCAAAGTATCGAAGTATTTACTATAGTTAACCAGAGTAAACTATAGTTAACTTTTGTTAACTATGGAATTTTTTGTAAGGTTTGTTTGTTTGTTTGTTTATTGTTTAATGTCCCTCTCGAGAATTTTTCACTCATATGGAGACGCGTAAGGGGTCCACCGGCAAGTAGTGGCGATTCAATGTGAGTTAAAAAATTCTTGAAGGGACGTTAAGCAAACAAATAAACAAACAAACATGAAGCACAAATAAACGTTAATTAAACACTTGTGTTATTGTTCATGTTCATTTCCAAAGCGCAATATTTGTTAAGTTTTCATTCTTGTGATTGGTCATCAACAAAATCACTTTGTTAAAAAATCAGTCTGATTCTACATAAAAGTAATCTAAAGTCGATAATAAAAGGATGCTGGTGTTTCTCATTGTCAACATTTACAGTATGTGGTCTTCGGAGACCAGGTCTTCCAACAAACTCTTGGAATCCAAGTGGGCACTAATTATGTTGCTTTACTTACCGACTTGTTTTTATACTCCTATGAAGCAGAATTTATTCAAAAACTTAAACATGAGAAGAAGAAAACACTTCAACTCGACATTCAGATATATCGCCGACATATTTCAAATAACAATAGTTACTTCCCTTCATACGTCTACTCGATATATCCCTGAGAGATTGTAATAAAAGACACAACAGTGTCTGCCACATCTGTTTCGTATTTAGATGTTTACTGATTATAGATGATAAGGGCCAACTAAAACCTAATTATATGACAAACGAGATGACTTCAGCTTTTCCATTATCAACTCTCCTTATTTATGTAGTAATATTCCACTATCACCTGCTTTTGCATTTACGTCTCTCAACTTATTCGATACTCAAGAGCATGCTCTGAGTAGGATCAATTTTTAAACCGAGACAGGTTACTGGCAGATAAGTTGAAGTTTCAGGGATTTCAACAACCTCGTTAAAAGGCAGCATTTCGTAAATTCTATGCTCGTTATGTTGACTTTGTCAACAAATAAAACCCATCATTGGATCGTATTTTGGCCAACGTATTTCATGCTACTTGATAGGCCTTTGTTTTTATACTAAAGGACTATATTCGGTAATGACCAATATTTGCCCCCAAAATCAAACTTTGACGGAGAAATATATAATTATGTTCTAAAACAGGGGAATATCTGCAGACTTCAAAGCACTGAATATTTTCATAAGCCATGACGCCACATGTTAGATATGACGTCAGAAAGATGACGTAAATTCAAAATTTCCATGATTTATACAGAAAAAGTGTATATTACGTCGATATTTTGAGTAAAAGTCACCGAGCGAGGGTCTGCTCCAACTCAATATTTTGATATAATGTGTAGAATGATAATATCAATGAAATATGTAAATATTGTTCTTGAGCAAGCCTGTCCTCTATAAATTTTATAGTAAAAATTGAACAAATTTTGTCCATTTTTTCCTTTTTCTGAAAAATAACACAAAATCCGAATAGTTTGTGATGTCATAGAAACAAAAGTTGCTAATAATCTACTTCGAAACTATAATATTTTTTTGTTAATTTAGATTTCTCACACAGTATATACAATTCAGCACATTTCAAGAAATTTTCAAAATCTGACTTTTGTGGGGGCAAAAATGTGCATATACCGCATATAGTTCTTTGACTAGGGAATGTTCCGTCCACCTGATCAATTCATTGGGTTAAGGCGGGTGTAACCGATCAACACGATCCTCCTTTAGGCACCTGATTTAACCTCTGGAATTTCCAAGGTTAATATTTAATGGTGAGTTAAGTAAAATCTTGTATAGTCTGTTGACACATATGAAGTACTCACTTTATCCCCGGTAGCTATATCTTAAACAAAGATAATTATGTATATATTCTTTTTTTAAATTGAATATACCTGCTCTTATTCAGAAGAAGGCTTTTAGATTTTTTGGAGTTTAACTTTTGTTTAATTTCTAGGAATTCTAAGAACTCTAAGGAATTCTATGATGACTGCCTAGTCAGCAGAATAACTCATAAATAACTGACATGGCATTAGCAATTATAATTATTGTGCTTCAATAACAACTTAACCACAACATCGAATTTGAAAAGACAACATTTTCCTTCATTACTTTCTGTTCAAGTACTTTACTTTGTGCCATAACCCAATTCAAAGAATCACTCTTGTACACTATTGCTTCTATAACTTCAATACAGGAAGCACAAAATATGATAATTTTAACACAGTTCGGATTTATGGAAACATACATAATACCTTCATTTATACATTCATAAGCTCCTTATAATCAGTGTTGTTTCTTGAATGTTGGAGAAAAGAACAACACATCAGTTTTCGGCAACCTAATGGTAGTCCAAGGACCGTTGCTGCTTTTCTCAGATGAGTGGCATGTTTTTGAAGGTTTGGTCATTCAAAGCTAAAAGAGCTCATTCAAAGCTAAAAGAGCACATTCAAAGCTAAAAGAGCACATTCAAAGCTAGAAGAGCGCAGTCGTCTAAAGCAGTCATTCAAACAATCATCATAATGTTGGATTTCGAATCTTTAAAGCATATTCATAAAATTCACCATATTGCATACTATGCCCATATACTGCCTTACTAATCTTATTGGTCATCTGGGTGAAATCACGAATTAATCAAGCTTCATTGCGTGCACAAGCAGTATTTATGATTTTTATATAAACTCTAATTAATGTCTGCTTAAACTGGCAATGATGTCTCATTGTATGATGTTGCTGATGCGTGCTTCAATAGTTTCGATGCTAATATGATCAATTTTACTTTAATTAATTGAAAAGGAAAGGACATCTACTAAAATAATCATTTGTATGGAAAATACTTTATTTATTACCAAAGTACATGAAGCAAAATATTTTTATCATTATAAAAATTCGAAGTCAAATATAACGTATATATTTGATTATTTCATATTCACATTTCTTTAACTTTTTGATGACTTAAGAGAGTCTTTATGTTCATTTTTCTCCAAATAGCATGCTTAACCAACCAAAGATGAGAAAAGCAACTCCAGCATTGGTAGTGTATTCAAACCTGCTGTCACCCTTCAAGCCGTAAGCATAACAGCTGCCAGAATACAGGAAGATTCCAATCATAAACAAATAACCAGTCTATAAGATAAAGCAATATATAAATAAACCTGATGAAGATGCAGAGATCAATAAATCTAACATTCCAGGAAAATTAAATGTTACATCTTTGTACATGTTTTCACTGTTTTCATTCTGAAGAGGGTGTAAACCCGATATATTTTTAATATATATTATAAATTTGAAGATAAACGAAATCTTATATTATAGCCGTCAACGTTGAATTGCAATTCATAGATTAGTGTGCTTACCACTGGTTTGTTACACGTGTCTGAGTACGCAAGTGCTACGGAATGCACCAAATGCATTTTGTATCCTTTCTCGTAAATCTGGAGATAAAAAAGAGAAAACAGTGAATGGCAAATACATTAAGTTTGGAACAAGATACAGTATTACTTGACAATTACAGTTGCTCATGGTGGTATGGCTGTTGACAGGGGATGCTTACTTCTTCTAGGCATCTGGGGCTCGTGACATAAAGCCAGCTAAGGTTTTGACTTAGTATGACTTTGGCACAGTCGTAGGACCTGCCAAAGTACTATTTAAGTAAGTCTTATGCCATAATATATAAAAAGAACTATGCGAGGTCTTAGCTAAGTGAAACTTATTTTCACTTATGTGAAATCTAGCATTTCAGTATATTTACATACACACTTACATGTATTGATACGAAAAATTATTAATTAACGATTCAGTTATGTTTTTTTTATCAAAAATTACAGTTGACATTCTTCCATTCCGATTTGAGTATGTTTTGAATTGAAATTATGATTCTCTATTTCAAAAACAATTCTTAATAATTTTAAAACAAATATAGAACACAGGTCCTTGTAAAGAAGAGCTCTCAATCCCCCCCCCCACCTCCACCCCCCATCAATATTTACACCCCGGGACAAGGTATTTTTCTATTTATTTTGTTTTATAAACTATTCAAAATCCCTGGGCCGGGGTATTTATACAGGGGAGGGGAGATTCAATATAAATGCATGATTTTTGTTTATCACTCGAGTGAATTGATATTCCGACTTTTCAATTTATCTATTAATCTTGCTACTTTTTGTTTTGACAAATGTTCAGTGTCTTTGTCATGGTCCCAGACATACAAAAAAATCAGAACTTACCGCAATTGACCCCTTTCAAGGCCGAGCTAACTTTCTATTATTGTATTATTGAGATTGTGTATTTTTTTACCTTTAAAATTTTGTACATATATTTCTTAATTGTATTTTGAGTAATAGTTTATCCTGGAATCCGTAATTTTACATAATATAGTTATTTACAAATAATCGAGGACTTGTAAGGATCAGTTGTTAATAAATGTGTTATTCATGTCCTTATCATGGGTGTTTTCTGGGCATCCTTTAAAAAGTGTATGTTGTTGTTCTGGACTTTAAACAAGTGTTAAGGTAACCAGGGATTACTGTGAGGAATTAAAATTAAAAAAAAAAAAAGCAGCTTTTGTGCTTTTATTATTTTGCATTACTTATTGAACGACAATCGTTTCCTTAATTCGGCTCTACTGGCCACCTCAGTTTTGTTTAGATTGTACAATTGTTGAATTTTCGCACTCTTTAAGTCAAAGTCGTTATAATTTCTGCTTTCTGTTCGTACCACCAAGACCTTTTCAGTTGAGCTGTGAGCAAACCCTTTTCTCATTTATTTTCAACGCGTTATTAATTTACTTTGTTTTTGAAGATTTTTTTTACTCATCATTATTTTTCATTTACTTTTTTGGACATTGAAATTCCCGTGCATATATCCTGATCAAATCCTTTTTATTGCAACGAAAATGACTAATAATTATGAAAATTGACTGTACGCGTGTGCATTTTGTTGACCAAAACCTGGCAAATATATATATTGCGCGAGTATGTTGCACTTAACCTTGTTTCACAAATTAAATTTAAGGATTTTTTTAAAATTCAAAATAAAAGATTTCAAATATTGAATAATGCAATTAAAGCCAAATTGTTTTAATTTAAAAAAGTAGAGTTTTGTTTTGTGCTATTGTTTCTTCTATGCCATGGAATTTACTTTGCTTTGAAAACAAGACACCATTTCATAATACTAACCTTCTTCAATTGCTTTCCTTTTTTATCTTGCATTGTAAAGGCTACAAAAGAAAATCACCCAAGTTTTGGAAATAAAAAAAAAAACAATTACACAAACATAACACGTTATGACTTGCCACATCCGAAATTAATATCGCGCAGTCCAGTATTAAACAAAAGATTACTTTACAAATTGAGGCATAAAATATAAGATCACCCTTTCTTAGTTCCTTAAAGACTGGAAATACAATATGGCAAACTTAACATCAATTATTATGTTGGCATCATACTAATTGCTTACTATTTATATGTTGGATATATGAAGCGCATACAAAAAGTAAATACCATGATTTCCATACACAGCGAATCCTAAAGCGATGGCACCAGACAATCCACCAACTTTCCGGCAAACCCCTCCTTTCTTCCCATAACCCAAGTATTTGGCCACTTCGCCCACGATGAAAACTCCCTTGTACCAGGTATCAAGATCATCCATTTTGTCACTTCAACAATTTATCTTGATCTCAGATTTTGACAGATTTTTTATTTCTTGCATTTGGGATCTCCCCACTTTCGCTTTAATTTCCTTTCCTGCGTCGAGTTTTCTCTGCAAAAAATGCAAGAGCGATATACCGATTGGTCAGAATACTATAGAGGTCTGTTAAACGACCAATGAAACTGTCTTCTTATACAGATATGAGAACTAGAAGATATCAATGTTTATTATAATGTGTTGACACTAGGGGACGAACATTTTGATTTTGAAAGGGGAGGGGACTTTTTTAAATAAAAATTTTGTCCTTGAATTTTAAAAAAAAATGCCTTTCATTGGCCATGATTGGCAAGAAAATAAATAACTGATCTTGACTTGGGCTAGAATTCCGGTGAAAATAAGTGTATTTTTTGCTCACTGTCTTCGATTTTTCAATTTCCCTCGTTTGTCGTTTTGAATGTAGTATATAAAGAAAGAACAAGGTTCACTTCGGGCCTTTTTTGGCCCTGTGAATTTCTGAAAAACTGAAACTACTTAGTTTTAGTTGACAAGGCATTAAATTTCATTTAGACATTTGGCGATTGCGAATCTACCAAAAAGTCATGTAAATAACAAGATGTTTTTGAAATATTTCTTGTGTTTCACCCTCCCCTGATAAAGTAACTCAAAGTAAATTAGTCGTCTCGTATTGCATAACAAGAAAAAAAAAACCGTTATGGTTAATATATCAAAGAAAAGAATATTTGAAAAGAAAAACCGTTATATCAATATTACAGACCCGTAGGAAGCAATTTCACTTTGAGGTCACAACCATACATTTTCAGTTGAGGGGGCACTATCAACTTCCAAAATTTTCTGACAAGCGAAAAAAAAAAGAAAAAAAAAGGTCATCAGGCGTAATTATTGAGGGGGCACGAGCATATAGCAGCTATGTTTTCTATAATGTTCTATATATCGGTAAAATTATTGGGGGGGGGGGGGCGTGCCCCCCCCCCCGGTTCCTACGGCCATGTTTTACTCATGCTACTAGTATTGGTGACCGTTAAGATATATAATAAAGACAATAAATAATCTGTCTTTCCTCATCTTTAAAAATGAATATACTTTCTTGTGAAGTCTGACTCGACAGAATATTCCTGCCCCGAATCAAATGGTCTCCCCCTGGTCTTAAATGATTCCGAGTGCAATAAAAACTTCAATTTTTTAAGAATTCAAACAATTATTTTTGTAGAAGTATGTCCGACGTTCCACCTGACTATCAAACATCCCCATTGGGGCCAATTTAAACTAAATGTGAAACACAAATGTCCCCACGAGCATGCAAATTATTTGAAAGTTCAGGGATTTAAAGTAAAAGGTTAAGGATTTCATTGTTTTAATACTGTGATATTTATTTACATGGGTCAAATTTAAGCGGTTTGAGGTGGTTCATGCATGGGGAATCGATTTTTTGGTTGAGGATTTGTTGATATTTTTTTGTCAAATCTCACCATTTTACAGTGTTCTGTTGTTGTTTTTCTTTATAATAGTCAAACTTGCTTGATTTTCTTTTTTTATAGCCTTTTAAGGTCAAGATCTAGTAAATGAAAGGTGTCTACAGATTTCTCAAATTTTAGAAATGAGTTCTTTTAATGATCCTTTAGCTTTGTAAAATAAGGCGTATCGGGACATAATTTTTAGGTAAACTCAACGAAAAAACATATTTTAAGCTGTCATTTTCAATGAAAAATTAAGAAAGTCATGTATAAATTTCAGAGTTTTTTCCATCTCAGAAAAAGGAAATGTATCAGTAATGCCCACAGTCTCTCAGAAAATGATTTTTCGTATCTTCTTGACATCTACTTTAAAATGATATTAAATTGAATGTAGGTATCGGGGTTACTTTTGACATGATTTCAAATTGAATTCAATGAAAATGCTTCATTTTCTACAAAATTCTATTACAGCCATAAAATACAGGAAAAAGTAAATTTAAATTAATTGTGACGTCATAATGGATCTCGCATCAATAAGACAGTCTGAACTCATTTACTAGATCTTGACCTTAATTGCAAGATAAAACGGAAGCAATTGAAGAAAGTAGTTGTAATTGCAGATATGTTTGGTGCTATTGAAATCGGTTTAGTATGCTACATTGTATAGGCTGCTGATCTGCTGGTTTTGAAAAGAAGTTAAATTTCTATTTTATGTCATTCTGGAAGGAATAACAGTGTTTTAGTCGTGAGAAATAGCATTCATAACATAACTGGACTATTCATAACGCCACGGCATGTGTTTTCTTCTTCTCATGTAGAAAGTTTTGAATACATTCTGCTGCATAGGAATATACAATCAGGTTGGCTAATAAAGGAGCACAATTAGTGCCCACGTAATCCAACATTTTGTTGGAAAACCTGGTCTCCAAAGATTAAGCAATTGTTGTCAATGGGGAACTCCAGCATCCTTTTAATATCAACTTCAGAGTTCTGGATAAAATCAAAGTGAGCACAAGAAATGTTCACGGCATACAAAAACTTTTCGCTCAAAACAATGAAGATACAATATAAGATAAAAAAAAAAAGTTTATTTTTCTAAATTATAACAGTGTGGCTTACTAATCGCATCAATAAATAATTGAAATTCTTTACTTTAATTAGAAATAATCCTCAAATAAAATGTGTGAAACAGATCAACGTGCAACAGAATCGGGTGATACATGTATGTTTATCATATGGCAGATTTTGATTTACAACATACATGTGCTGGCCTCAGTCAAAAATTATATATTTTGCTGGAAAAATGTAGAATTAAAAACTTTAAAATAGCAATCCAAAGTGCTGCTTTCTGCAATTGAATGACATAATAAAAAAATCTTATGGATGATTAAAATTTTACTTAGGTCTAAGTCTGTTTCATGATCGTGGGACATGGTGAGAATTAAATGCTTATTCTTATTAACAACCATGTTTACTTGCGAAATTAACAGGAATATCTCCAGATGGTTGGGGAGTAGTAAAGATGATTTAATTAAAAAGCTTTTACATCATACTATCTTGTATGCAAGTCCAAGTTGGCCAACCAGATGGCCAGGGATTAGACACAGATGGATCCGTAAATAGATATCATTAATGAAGAAAAGCTGAAGATATGTTATGTTTTAAATTATATCAGTAATTTGTCTGTCAATTGAAGTTTGGAGTAGGCCGAGTCAAAATGACTCCACGATCATTTATTGATGATCAGATAATGATTGATTAATTATAATGAGGTCTTTACTCTAGATGTTAACTGTAGTATGAAGTTGTTTATGAGATGATGATTATTCTAACATATCATTTAGGCGGGAACTGTTCCTATGGCGGAGAAACAAAAAATGCAGACCAAGTGCTAGAGAAAAAATTCATCAGTCGAAAAAAATTCTAAAAACAGATCGAAAGAAGAAATTGGAAATTTGAATGCAAAGGTGAGGGGTTTGTGCATGCAGACAGAATCTAGAATCCCGCTGATTTTGGTCTGCATAGAAGAGTTGGCAAGAACTGCCCGGAAAAATAATTGAAAAAAAATAATAATGCCGAGGCGACAGTCTTTGGAGAATTATCAAAGGCAAGTAAATTGCAAGAAGGATAATTTAGATATCCCGTCGTTTTGTGTGAGGATATTTGCGGGAAAATCGACTGTCAGAAAAGCTTTGATAAAAGCTTTGAAAATAGTCAGAGACTGGTAGTGGCCAGGGAAAGTTTTTAAGACCCAAAATCACCACCCCCCCCCCCCCCCCAATGAATTTATGCTCCCAACCACCTTAAGCATACTGGGGATGTGAGCAGGGAAACAAACCCCCCCCCCATATACCTATACAAGGGTGTGATGAGATATGCTGGGTACAGGAAATACCAGAAAGGTTCAGGCAGGGGTCAGTCTGTCTCGCGGTGCGTCTGACCATTATGTTCGTGACTGCATAAAAATGAAAGCGGCAATGGGGAAGTAATGAGATATTTTGAGAACATGTGACCACTGGCCAACTTTTTTTGTAACATACAACTTTTGATATTTTGTAGCAGTGTCCATTGGTATGGTAAAATATAAGTAATTCAGCGTGTTTTATTGTGTATTTGAGATGTTTTTTGAATTATACATGAATAAACCCTGATAAAATTAAATTTACAATAGTTTGTGTCTTTATACCTGACACCCGGGGACTCTTAAGCCCTAGTGAGCTCTTTCAAGTAGATTGCAGGTTTGAGAGCATATCTTCAGAGTTATTTCACAGAGATTCTTTATTTGAAATTATAAGTTTTTGTATTCTTGACAGAAATTTGAGATTGAAGTCCCGGAACGGAAAAGTTGTGAGTCATTTGATCCAAAGAGACGTGTATTGGAAAAGAAAGGGCATCATCCTACGTGGATGACACTGAAAGTAAGTGATTCCAAGTCTGCATTCCACGTAAATAAACAATTTGAGATATATAATGATGAAAATAATCAATCTGATTTGGTTGTATGAAATACAGATACATTTGTTTCTGGTGAAATTCATACTTGTTTAAGTGAATGGTTAAATGTCATCTGAAAACATGTCAGAATTTGGTGGATTCGAGGTGTTCATGCGCTCATTTAAAGGGAATTATATAGGAAAATCTTTAATTTCATATATTCCACTATTTTCCCATTTCACCATCGTGTAAATCATACATTTCTTTGATAAGAAAAGAAATAAATGAAACATAAACAAACCCCCGGATCATTCAGATTATGAAGTAAAGTAGGTGAGTGCTCTCTCCATAGGGTTACTATGACATTGACTGTTGAACCTATTAAACAGATAAACTCTGTCATGATACCTTTTTTTTTTTAAATCTGAGAACAAGACTTTGCATTAAATGAAGTCTCAACACTGTGAAAACACGTCCATTGCTTAGTAGAAAAGATGCATACATGATTTATTGAGATGAGAAATCGGGGTATGATCACATAAAACTTACGAAAGAATCAGAAGAGTATTTTGGTGTTCAGTATGGGGGCTGGTTATCTACATATACTACACTGTCCTGTGGGTTGAAAACCTCCCCGTAAATATATCAAATGCATATCGATGTTTAGGGAGCTATGGTTGAATATTTCTCAATATAAACAAGAGGCCCAAGGGCCTTAACGGTCACCCGAGTATAATCCATAGAGGTATAAATTACAACAACGATAAAGGATCAACAAAAAATAATATGGTACTCCTTAATAAATCTTTAACTAGATCCATTCACTTATCTGTACATGCCATTTGTCACATCTTATTTTAAACTAAAGAAATCAATAGTGCTTGAGCACAGTTGGAAAACCCATCTCAATCCCTCTCACATTGGCCTCTCTTGGTCTATGAAGAACATCTAATGTACAAAGATAAGGTATTTTTGTCTCATTTTTAATTATCTATAATTAACAAGTCTACCTGACCATTCAGAACTATGAAAGTGCTTTTTGTATTATATATTATAAAAATTCTAGTATAAATCTCTTAATAAATTTGACCTCTCAATTACATTATTTACAGTGATTAATTATCATAGGTGAATAGCAAAGGGGAATAACGTTTCTCAGTAGAATACAAATTATTAGAGCCCTGCCCAGCATCAGAGCACTTGGCCAAATGGTCCACATGAACCCTGACTCTGGAGCCACAAATTTCAAATTTTAGAGAAAGCACCCTTAGTCATAATTAGTTAGTTTAACTGCTAATAAATTATCCAGGAGCAGAAGAAAACATTTTCGAAGAATTTATGCATTTTCACAAGTTATTCAATAGAGCCCCCCCCCCCCCTCAACACCAGAACCTCTGATCCAGGGTGACAAAATTCACAATTTTGAATAAGGCACCTCTTCTCATCATAACCATGATCTTAGTTTATCTGCTAAATATCCAGGAGAAGAGAAGATTGTAAAGAATTTATACATGAAATTTATAATTTTGAAAGAGACACTTTTGCTTATCATAACTATGCATTTAGTTAGTTTGCTTTAAACCGGGGAGCAGAAAAGAGTGTTTTAAAAGAAATAATGCATTTTCACTAAATATTCAATACACAATACAATACAATACAATACACTACACAATACCAGAACCCCCTGACCCAGGGCCCATAAAATTTTGGAAGAGGCTCCCCTGCTCATGATAATCATGCACTTTGTATGTCATCCAAATACACAGGAACAAAAAAGACTTACAAAGAAATAATGCAATCTCACTATATAATCAATAGAGCTCCACCCTAACACAATAACCCCTGACCCAGGGGCCATGAGATTAAAAATTTCAGAAAAGGCAGTCCTGCTCATCCTAACCATGCATATAGAATATTTACCAAATACCCAGGAGCAAAGAAGAAGGTTTTTAAAGAAATAATGCATTTTACTATATATTCAGTAACCCTCTTCTCTTACATCAGAATCCCTTACCCAGGGGCCATGATATTCACAATTTTAGAAGAGGAACCATGCTCATCATAACCATGCAATTATTTTCTTTGTTTAATATGCAGGGGGAAAGAAAAAGCTTTTTAAAGAGTTCATGCACTTTTACTTAATGATCAATGGAGCCCCACGCTATATCTCCAGAGCCCCTGACCTTGGGGCCTTGAATTTCAAAATTTGGTAAAGGACTCATTGTATGGTATAATCATGACAACAGTTTGACAGCTTGATGTCCAGGAGTAGAAAAAAAAAGATTTTTGAAAATTACATCTTGAGGGTTTTGGGCCCACCCCTCAGGCTTCATGGGGCAGAGACCATGAAATTCATAGTTTTTGTCCCCCTTTGCCGAAAGATGCTGTTTAACAAAATTCGTTGAAATTGGTTCAGCGGTTCCAGCTGAGAAGAAGCTGAAAATGAGCAAAAGTTTACGAACGACGAATGACGCACGCCGACGGACGAAAACAGATTGCAATAGGTGACTCAGGTGACCTTAAATACAGATGACAGGTTTACAGTTTTTAATTAATTCAGAAACTCGGAGTTGTACAGCATCCCCGCATTATAAACATTGACAGATCCTTAGAATACCTCTATGTTTGTAGTTCGTTTGACAGCTACTTAACTTTTAGTTACACGCTGGCATTTAAGAAATGTCTACACTAAATGGAGATTGTTGGATATTATTGTGATTATTTGTGGTCTTCTTCTATTCTCCAGAATAATATTGGTCTTTCAGGATATAATCATAAAGTTTTTTATGTAAATCTGTGACTCTTTATTTTGACTGACCTTAGTGCTGAAGACCATATGCCTTCAATTCAGCCTTCTGCAAAACTGAATCTACACTATACATGGTTTCTAATAAATATGATTAAATCGCATTTATTATCTAAAAGAATTTTTTTTTTAAATTCTTTATTTTTTTTCCTTTGGAAATTTTGCGATCTCTGCTGTTGCCCTCACCTTAAACCAAAGGTAATGATATTAACAAATCTGGATCTAAGTATTGCTTGCAGATAATTTCAGTAGAAATTTTTTCTTACTATTCTTGAAATGAATCGAACAAATCTGGATCTAGAATGCCCAACCGAAGTCCATGAATTGAATAGATTGGATTCTTTGCTCAAAGAGGATGCGTTTCCTAAGTTTTATTGTGACTTTTCTGGCCCATTAATTCTTGAAAAGAGTATTCATTGATGTCATTTTCAAATATCTCCCCTTGAAAAATTAAAAAAAGGTATCCCCATCATCTATGAATGATTTGTGCTAAATTAAGTCATAACTAGTCAATTTGTTCTGGAGAAGTTGAAAAGGTTAAAAGATTACGGTAAACATATCACGACGGAAAAGATTCAATGGAGCCTTGGGAAGTGAATGAAATATATGGAGATGAATTTTCATATCATTATTCAGTATTCTTTTAATATTTAATGACTAATGCACATAGCGTCATATGCACTAATTAATAGCGATTCTCTGTAATCCTTTAAACTTCTTTGCTACGCATTGATGAAACTTTGTCCATTATTACAACTTGACACCAGAAACATATATCAAATAAAATTTCGTTGCTATGTGTCTTGGTTTCCAGAAAAGTTCGAAAAATTGAAATTTTCGGCTATTTGAATCTTTATTAAGCCTTAATAAAGACAAAGAAAAACAAACAAACCATTCTCACAGAAACATGACACCTTGCTGCCACTTATTCTATAAAGAAACTATTTGAATATATCTTTAAGTAAGTGGTAACCATGGGTGCATTTAGAATACATTTTAAATGCTGAAAAATGCTGAAAAACGCTCAATATTCACTGACAAAAAACAACAAAAATCATGACTGGCACATATACATTCTTAGGACCTTGCAACACCGACAACATAAGAAAAATTAGGATTAATTGTTACTTTGCAGTATAACCACGGAAACAACGTATCAGTTGTTTAAAGCAATATTTTTTTTTTGCTGCTTTAGGAATTTACTTACCCTTTGATCAAACACCATATTATTTGACTCACCTTGAAAAGTACTTATCTGGTAGAACTAAAGTTGAATATCATATATTGATAAAGTTTGATGAAAAATACAACACTGTTGCTATGATTACAAAGAAGGGAAAATGTTCGATTTTAGTAACTTTATATCAATATTAAACCCTATGTGTCAGCATTTTGCATCCAGTTAGAAATTGGGTGGTAGTCAAAAATTTAAAGTCAGGTTAGTTGTTCATAAATATCAATCATAAAAGTTTTGGGAATCTACATACAAGGGTACGTATCCAAGACACCAGAATATTTTTCAGATTTTTATGCATATTTTTTTCGGCTAATTTCCATAGCAATGCTCTATTTAAAGAATTTAATATGAATTTTTGAAATGTGAAAATTAGGGTCATATCAACGCCTTTAAAAATTGATCATCAATTATACAGAAATATGCTTTTTAAAAAAGATAGGATAATTAAAACACTAAGTGAATAAATTTTAAATCCCTTCGTGATATTAAAACCATGGCAACCATTGCCAACCTATGAGAAATATTTCGTCCTTGGTATATGTTACAAGGATCTTTTGTCTATTGTTTGCTCGCATTTCAACCTATAATTGATTTTATTCATAAAATTATAAAATCAAATGAATCAAATTATTACTTTTGAATACTATGTTTCCATAGTAACGTATGTTATAGTTGATTTACCAAACATGTTTATCATGCATTTAACGATCCTTGGATCCTGATATCTAAAGTCTTAAACTTTTTATGCCAAGTATATTTTTAGTTTCTACACGGATAGCTTAATTTAAAATCAAAACAAAAAATGGGGGTCTTTTTGCGCTATAGTACATTTAATATGACCTTTTTGCACTGAAATTTGTGTCTTAATCAAAAATCACATCTTCGGCGTTTTCCCTCCAATGTTTTTATCCAAATAAATCATGGGACAAAATAAACTATTA